CACTGCCCTGCCAAAGCCACCAAAGCTGGCTTCTCGGGAAAAGTGTTGGCATGGGTTCTAGTCCTTGGAAGAGCTGCTTCCTCTCTCTTGGCCTCAGTTTCTCCTCTCTAGTTCGAGGGGGATGGATTGATCTTCAAGTTTCTTCCACCTCTACCAGTGTGTGGTTCCAGAAGACACAAAGCACTTTGGAAGTGAGCAGCCCCTGTGTTTGAATCACCAGCATTGGCTCCATTCCCAAGAGTGCCAGCTGCTGGGGGGTGTGTCCCCAAGCCTGGCAGAGTTGCAACGATGGGCTTTTTCACGGGCAAACCAGGACGTACACAGTGAAGGGAGGCGGGGTCTTTCAAGTCATCCCCTGAGAGGCCACATATCCACTCCAATGGTGCTGCTCGGGCCCACAAGAAGCTCTGGAAACTTCTCTTGCAGAGAGGTCTTCTGGATGGGCGTCGGAGCCGCAGGGGGCACCCGGCCTCACTACAGGGTACCCACACCTCAGTTCCAGGTCAAGTTCTGCTCCCCAGTTGGCTTCCCCCCTTCTTCACAAGGTGTGACCCCCTAAAGACTCCCAGTCGTTTCCAGAAGAGCAAAACCAGTCCGAAGGATAAAGATTTACTCCACAGTGAGGATTTTCAGAGCATATGCCACAAGCTCTGAGATGTTCCAAAAGAGTTTCCAGAAATGTTTGAGAAACCGCAGCAAACTGGGTGTGAACATATGGCTTCCCAGGGGGACCACTTGGATGGGGTCGTTGCTCCTTTGGGTGTGTAAATCAGTCTCAAGCCTCACCTCGTCAGAGCTAAGTGTGTGAAAAAGTATGCATGCGTCATGTATCCAACAAGCGAGAGTTGACCCCTGCCACAATGGCCAGGTGGGGAGAAAGGCAAAGATAGAGGTGCGGTCCCCGCCTCTGGGTCTGAGACTTCCCAGGATGTGGCTGGAGCATCCTTAACTCAGGATGATGACATTTTAGAATGGGAAGAAACCCACGCCGTCACCCGGTCCCCCTCATTTTACAGATGAGAAAACAGAGACCAGTGTGCGTTCGGGGGCAGGGAGGCAGTGACTGCCCCACCACACTGGCCCAGAGAGTTGGCCGCAGAGGGAGGAACTGACCTCTAACCTCCCAAATGCCAACCCAAGCGGCCTATCCCAGCATCAGCTCGCTCCATGACCCCACCCGTGAGAAGTAAAATAAAGATCCTAACACGTGCCTCCCTCCTGGTGGGTTGTGAGGATTAGTGAATTAATGCATGAGAAGGTTCGTGGGGGTAAGGAGGACAGCTAAATAAAAGCAGGACGTGCTGAGAATGAAAAGAGCAGCCCCATTAACCCAGAGTTCAGCTGGGGGGGGGTGCCTAAGGTAAGTGATTGCGTCACCAAGTCACATCCCCGTAGCCTTAAATATTTCATGGAGCCAGAAGTGCACTGCATGGAACAGCTACTCCTCCAGCCCCAGCTGCATCTGCGGCAGGGATGGCAACGCCTGCTTGCACACGCGAGCACACCTCCTGCAGACACCTGCAAGCAGGCTCCACCTCCAACCAGGGGCCTCCAAGAGCAGGTGGAGGGCCCTCCATGCCTCCCCAGCCCAGTGTGTGAGCAACCCCTGTCCTCTTCCCCCCACAAGTTCAACACACACTCACAGCCACTCAGCCAGCTCTGGCCATGAATAAAGGTCAAAACATGATACACAGACAGCCCCGTTCTAGGCCACGCTGAGACCCCAGCCCCAGAGGCTGCAGCCAGCCACATTCCACCTCCGCGCTACCCACAAACGCTTCGCCCACCTGCACCCAGCCTCCTGTTCTTGAAGCAAGCCCATACCCGCACCCAGAGCTGTCTCCTCCCTCTCCCTGCTCTCTCTCCTCTGCCTCCACCCCAGCACTGGCTGCTCCGGGACCCTTCTTCCCACACAGCCCCCCATCAGCCATCTCTCCAAAGCCTGAGCAACCTGGGCCCCTCTCCTTGCCTGTAGCTTTCAGGGCAAGGGGTTCGGAGAATCTGGAGCTTGAGGAAGCAACATGAAGGGTGGGTGTAGGACTTTGGGAGGAATCTCCACGGCCAGAACAAAGTTTGAGGGGAAAGGGGGAATATGAAAGAGGCCCAGGCAAACTGGATGACCGGGGTGGGGTGAAGGTTCTCCTGATGAGAGCCTGGAGAGATGACTCCCCTCACTGCTGCCCTGCTAGGAGATGACAAGACAGTAACATCAGCAGCCATGGATTAATCGAGGGTGTTCTATGTGCCAGGCACTTACCTCATATGATACTCAACCCTATCAGGCAGGGACTCTTCTCCCATTTTACAAATGAGGAAAGTGAGGCTCAGTAAGGGATTTTGAAGCCCCAGAGATCCAGGGGTGTGATAATCCTGGCTTCAAATTCCAGGGTCCTGGTGGAATGGGGTAAGAGGTGTGCAAGTCAACTATTTAGAGGATACTTGGGACCCTGTTCTGTGTATGTGTGGTTAGGAGGTGGGCGAGTGGGAAGGAAACCAGAGCAAGTGCCCACGTGCTAATGGGCCCTGCATTCCCCACCCCATCTTCCTCCTCTTGGCTTCAGTGTCCTCATACCCCCTCCTCCACTGCAACTTCTGGTGGGGGGCAGGGGGAGCAGCTTCTGGGGAGGGGCCGGGAAATACAACTAGCTGTTTTCCTGGCTGGCCTTGCTACATCAAAGAGAGAATAAAGACACAAAGATATCTATCTGTACCCCCATGTTCATGGCAGCATTCTTTACAGTAGCCAAGACATGGAAACAACCTGTGTCTACCGAGGGATGAATGGATGAATGGATAAAGTTGTGATAGATGATATACATATACATATACATATACATATACATATACATATACATATACATATAGATACAGAGATGTATGTGTATATATAACAGAATATTATTTGGCCATAAAAAATAAGGAAATCCTACAACATGGATGGACCTTGAAAGCATTATGCTAAGTGAAATAAATCAAAGACAAATACTGTATGATCTCACTTATATGTGGAATCTAAAACAAAAGTCAAACTCCTAGAAAAGGAGATCAGATTTGCGGTTATCAGAGGCAGAGGGGAGGGGGACCGGGAAATGGAGGAAGATGGTCAAGAGGTACAAACTCCCAGATTTAAGATGAGTAAGTGCTGGGGATGTAATGTACCACATGATGACCAGAGCTAACACCGCTCTATGATACACCAGGAAAGTTGTTAACAGAGTAACACCTGAGTTCTCATCACAAAGAGAATTTTTTTCCTTTTTCTCTTCTTTTCTTTTTCTTTTTTATTGTATCTTATGAGAAGATGAATGTTAGCTGAACTTACTGTGGTCATCATGTCACAATATATGTAAGTCAAACCATGGTGCTGTATGTATGCCTTAAATTTATACAGCAGTGTATGTCACTTATTTTTCAATAAAGCTAGAGGAGAAAAGTTTTTAAAAAGAATGCAAAGGGACCTACGAGTGCAGACTGAGTGTAGGGGGTCATTCCTCGAATCCAGGTGACAGCAAAATGGGGTCAGTTAACATGCAAATGGAGGTCTGGCTGGCCCACTGGGTCCCTATAACCCCAGGCTTGCCCTGGGAAAACCCGAGCTGGGCTGGGCGTGTGTAAAGAGATATGGCTAGGGGGGAGGACAGGGGAGGTTATTTTGGGAGGTAAAAGGGGAAGGGGCCGTGAAATCCAGGTCAGGGAAGGGCTGCCCAAGAGAGGAGGCAACTAAGAGTTGAGGCTGAGTGAGCCCTTAGAGGAGAGGGTGGTCATAGGGACCCCAGAGAACCAGGCATTAATCTGTATGGAACCTGCCAGGTGCCGGTCTTCAGGCTAAAGAAACAGATCTCTGGCCCTGGCCCTGGCCCAGCCCCTCCCCTAGAACTCCCTGTCCCTTCTCCTCCCTACCTCCAGTCCCTCTCCTCCCCCAGGGATGCATCCAGCCCTGCCCCACGCCAGGGCCACAGCACCTCTTCTCCCTCCATCCAATGACCCCCAGGCCCTGGCAGGGTGCCACCAGCTCCTAAGAATATCCTATCTGCCTCACTCACTGGTATTGATTGACATCTGGTCCTACACCAACGCGGTAAGTTCTTCACAGAGTCTAACCTCCATCCCTTCAGTTACAGCAGATCATTTTCATGATCCTGCCAGTAGTGGGACTGGAAACCAACCCCATCTGTAAACAAGCCACCCCACCAGAAGTTTCCCTCTTCATCCCCCAGCATTCTCCCCTCCAAGGCCTTTCACCTGCTTTCCCAGACCCATAGTTTAGCAAGCAGAAAGAGAAATCTATTTCACAAGCATTATCGGCTCCCCACCCCCAACACTCCGTCTGCTGAGACCCAGATGGTCCTCTCTCCCGGGGCCCTTCACCCACTCCCATCCGCACTTCAAGAGAGAGGCTCTGGCCTCTGGAGACCCTTTAAGGTCTTCAATTCGCCCTCCCTGTCGGCCGAGGGAACTGCCGGCCACGGGACCGCACCCCTCCCCTCCAAGTTTTCACCTTCGCCCTAGTGTTTTCCTCTCCAGGACAAGTCCGTCTCCGTGTCTAGCCGTCACCCCGCCTGCTGCATGCTTAAATCCCCTTTCCTTCTTTGCTCTATGAGACAACCCGTTTTCAGATCATAAATGAAATCTTCCTCTCACGTTTGCCGCCTCCTCTTGGCAGCGCCCCTCCACCTTCCCACTCCTAAAACCTGTCCCAGCCTGGAGAAGTTCTCCGTCCCGCTCCCCACCCCCACTCCCTACCCGGAACTCTGAGGACACCTGGATGCCGGCCGGGGCCGCCGACCATCCCCCCGGACCCGGCCACACCCGGCTCTCCCGTCGGCGGGGTCTCCCGCAGCCCGCGGCGCAGCCACGACAGGGTTAAGGTTCCGAGCTGGGGGAGGGGGCCGGGAGGGGCGGGTGCGGAGCCAATCGGCGGCCGCAGAGTCCCCGGGGCCGGAGCAGGGAGCGCGGTGCCGGGAGCCGGGAGCTGAGCGCGCCGGGCTGGGGCCGGGGCCGGAGCGGAGCGGAGAGGGAGTGCGCCCGCCCCAGCCCCGAGTCCCGCCGCCCGCCCTCCCGCCGCAGCGCCGGCCCAGCGGCCGCCGCCCCAGCCATGGAGCAAGACAACAGCCCGCGGAAGATCCAGTTTACGGTCCCGCTGCTGGAGCCGCACCTTGACCCCGAGGCGGCGGAGCAGGTGCGGAGCAGGGCGGGGTGGCAGGGGACTCGCCCAGCAACGGACGAGGGACCCCTGGGCTGTGGGATCTGAGAAACCCGCTTCGTCCGCCCTTCGCAGGGCGCCCCTGTGAGGGCGACCGCGCTCAGTTTGGGGGTCTTCTCTCCCCTCCCCCACCGCTGGAGCCACATCCCCCTGTCTGTGCGAGGACGAGCGCCTCCACTCGAAGCCTGTCCGCCGCGGAGGGTCCCTCTCTGCCTTCCCAGCCCTGGGGGAGGGGGCCTGCCTGAGGACACGACCCCTCCCCCCGCCTTCGCCAGGCTTGCATCCCCCACCCACTTAACCCCCCCCCAGAGTTTCTGAGCTCGAATAGGGGCGCCGAAGGTTACGGCAGCCTTGCGGGAGGGGTTCGGGGCGGGGGTGGGGGGGGAGAAGGTAGGTAATGGAGGGAGCCTGGTGCTGTCGAAAGGAGTTGAAAGAAGACAAATCGCCTCCCGGGTCCTCCCCTAACTGAAGGCTACCTTGCCTGACCCCAGAGAGTGAGAAGAAGAAGGAGCTGGGGAAAACTGAAAGGGGTGGGGCTTTGGGGAGAGGGGTGGTCGGGTCCACAGGCCGAGGCTCCCCTCTTCTGCAGGTCTGGACACGTGGGTCCCTATTCCCAACTCCTGCCCTTTGGAGCAGGGAGTGGGGTGGCATGGAGAGAATGGTACCGGGAAGCCAGAGGCAGGGGCTTTCTGGGAGCTGGGTGCAAGGGACCCCCTGTGCAAGGGAGCAGCACTGTGCTGGCCTTGGCTCAATGGGTGGGAGTCCATGGCCCTGGCCCAGCCCAGGGCCCGGTCTATTTTTAGGTCAGAGCCGCCTGGCAGAGGCGGCAATGGATGAGAGTGTGTGAGCAAGTGTGTGTCTCAGGGAGAGTGAGCGTGTGTGTGGAGAGGGTGACCACCCGTGGTCACTACTACCGCCCATTTACCAAATATTTGCTCATTGCTCCATCTCTTTCTGTGTTCTCTGTCCATTTCCCTGGACATCCCCGTTCCTAAGGAATACCCATTGGCCACAAGGTCAGTTCTCCATTCCCCCCAACCGGCTCCCAGGGCTCTGGCTGGGCCTCCCCACCTGAAAAAACTCTGGGACCTCTTGGGATGGGCTGGAGAGAGTGTCCTCTGTCTTGCTTTGGTGGAATAAGGTCAGGGTGTGAAGGGAAGGGTCGGGACACACACTCTCCCTGTAACTTCAGCTTCCCAAAGTGTGGGCAGGGGTGAGGAACCTGCCCCCGCCTCCTCTCCCTGGCCTGGGGGGAGCCGCCTCTCCAGACCTCGACGGGGTGACGGTAGGAGAGACTGTGGGGAGACCTCAGGCCTGGTGAGGATGAGGAAGGTGGAGAGCCTGAGCTTGGGGAGTGTTCCCCCAGAGTCAGGGGCAAGGCTGTTATGCCCAGAGGCAGGGGACTGGCTAAGATAACCTCAGACCCAGGAAAAAGACCCCATGAGTGTGGGCTGGGGAGATTAGCGGTGAAGTGACAAGGACTGCCTCCCACTGGCATAGACAGGTCTCACTGCCTGACACCTGCATCTGTTTGGTGTTCGAGAAGGCAGGTGTTGGTGTGTGTTGGGAGGAGGAGGGGGTAGGCCAGCTGGTTCAGGGGTCAGGAAACAGAGGAGGAAGAGAAGACAGTGGTAAGGAGCCAGAGTGAAAAAAGAGCTGGGACTTCTGCCTGCTTTTCTCTAATATTCCAAAATTGGTGTCCACTAGACCTGAAATTCTACCTGCAGTCTAACCTCGGCCCCTCTTGCTGTGTTGCCCAAGTGTGTTACCCAATCAAAAAGCTCCAGGCATGGCAGGAGCTCCTAATCCGGACGGACATGGAAGAGCAAAGGGGGTTAGAAGCTATGAGTTATGGAGCACAGAATGGCAGGGGATGGAGGGGTGCCCACAACTACCAGGTCTTTGGCATGACTGGTTTGGCAGCAAATCAGAGGCAGAGGCACCAGGTGTCCTTGAGCACTAGAATTTGAGGTAGGTGCAAGAGAAAGAAGAGAGATGATCTATTCATTTCCTAGGAGTTCAGGTGCCTGGGAGGTGCTTTAGGAAGGCTGACCTGACTCCCTTCTGCTATAGGATATCAAAATTCTCAAAGACTCTGAGTGCCTAGAAATCTTGTCCAAGGCAAGGAAATGGGCTAAGGGACCTGTCCAACATCACAGAGCCCTGCTGCGCTCTCAAAGGCCCTTTCTGACGTGCTTGTGGTCCCTTCTCAGGATTCCAACTTCCACTAATACCCCCACCTTCTCCCTGTCTCTCTGACTCCTCCACAGCCAGCATGCCCCCTCCACCCACAGCAGGAAAGAAAGAAAAGGGAGTCCTCCCCTAGGGAAGGGATGGCCCTCACCCCGCAGATGTGAAGCCAACGTGCCCGCCTGCTGGTGCCCAGCACCTCTGCATCAGGAACGCCAGGCCGACTCACAACTAATGTTTGTGTAGTGCTGATGTGTATGCGCGCGTGCACATGCACACACACACACACACACACACACACACACACACACACGCACAGGACTGGTACTGCCAGGGACCTTGAAATGTCACCCCAAACAGATGTTGCTGGAATCTCCAGAGAAAACAGTGACCTACCCCAACATACCCCCCATTGTACGCATCCCATTTCTTTGGGGAGAGTCCCCCTCTCAGACTAACACTGTGCCTCTTGCTAGGGCTGATACCCACTTTCTGGGCATAGAAAGGGCAGGCGTCTTACCCCACCCCCAAAGGTAGTGATACTAAATAATGGGACACAGAAAAGAGAGGAATTCCATCCTTCAGCGTCCTCACCCTACTACTCTCAGCCCTGGATAATTTTAGCCCCTTGCCCAGCCCCTTTAGCCTTCCCTCCTCTCTTCTGCCCTGGAGGGAGCTGCAGGGACTCCAGCCCCACGGGTCCCCTCACTTCCAAGCCTCTAAACCCTCCAGAGAAAGGGGGGAAAAACCATATGTCCCAGGAGTCCTTGGACTGACTTCAACAGCAATCAACTTTATTGGCAGCATGGCAAAAGAACAGCAACCACCCAGCAGACGGTCCGCTTTTATATGTTAATTTCTTAGACTGGGACCCTGGAGCCCAGGGTAAGATTTTTTAGTAACTTTAGGCCCTGACTAGACTCCTGCTAGTATTTTATTTACCATGACAAGGATTTCCTCAGACCACATTTCCTGACAAATTAGGAAGGCAGTGTGTCCCAGGATAGGGAGGACTTTGGGGAATGAGCCAGCTCGTGGGCCAGAGAAATGTACCTTCAGCCCTACCTTCCCTGAGCCGTCCACCCAGGCTGGGCAGGGTCTGAGGGGTGCTCTCCACCGATGCCGGCGCACCAAAGGTTAATGTCTGTTTGCGGGGGGTGGGCTGGACCACTGAGGGAAAAGCCTTGGCCCTCCCGGGTTATTTCTGACCATTGGTCAGGATGCACAGAAGCACAGCAAGCCAGAGATCCATGCATGAGAGCAGACAGAGCTGCTGAGACGGAGCACTAGGGAGATGCAGAAACGGAAAGGGGGCTGGGGGGTCTTTGGGTCCCCAAGGGGGAGGGGTGGGCCCGGGAATGTCCATCTTGGGATGGTAGGTTCAGTGTAATGGGGCATTTTTGAGGGATCGTAAGCGGGGAGCCTGGATTATGTTGCTGAGTGGGATTGGGTGGGGCTTCAATGCTTCCACGTGCACTTGACCTCTTCCCTCAGATCCGGAGGCGCCGCCCCACCCCTGCCACCCTCGTGCTGACCAGCGACCAGTCCTCCCCAGGTAACCCCGGGGATGGGTCGCTGAAGGGCGTGGGGGCTGCTGAGGACAGCCGGGTCCAGTGAGAGAAGGCGGGCACCGGCTAGAAGGGCCTATCAGAGGAGTCAGGGAGAGCTAGCTCCTCAGCCCCAGGGTCGGGAAAGCTGTGGCTGCAATCGCAGGATTTCCTTTGCTTTGGCAAGATGGAGCGGTGCTGGGGCAGGGGAGGGAGAGCACCTGGCTCCTAAGCCCCCCAGGAATTGGGGTGGTCAACTGAGTGCCGGTTGCTGTGGCAACAGCCTTCCAGGTTTCTCCAGCAACTGAGATGCTGCAGCCCCCACCCCCAGAGGCAGTGACAGCTGTGAGGGGGAGGGACCGCCTCCATCAGCCCTCTTCCCAGCCCCCAGAGGGGAAGGCGAAGGTCGGACACAGCTCAGGGAACAGCTGGTATTCCGGTCACCCGCGTGCCCAACCAGGTCTCCGAGAGTGTGGGGGAGCTTGCCAGGACAGGGGCAGAGAGGTGGTCATGCTCATAAGCCGGCCTGGAGTTCAGGACACCCTAGCCTCTGGCCTGCACCCAACCACCAAAAAGGATCGTACGTCCCTGCACAGGATAAACTTGCTGTTCTTTATCCGGGATTCCCTCCCATGCAGGGTTCAGCTCTGGACCTGGGGCGGGGGCAGTGGTTGGGAGGAGAGGGAGGAAAAGAGCCAAAGGACCACAGATCCTCCTTCAGGAACCTCCAGGTCTGAGGCAAGGATGTAGACGGAGATTGACCACAGAGTCAAGGACAGGCCTCCGTGCGGGGAAGAAAGCAGGGCAGGAGGGAGCCCGAAGGGAGCAGGCCTGGGGCAGCCATCGGGGCCACCTTCCTAGGGGCAGATCAGAAAAGAGGTCAGCTCTGTAGGGACCCCTGGGTTTTCAGTCCTCTTCACTTTCTCCTTTCCCTGTTCCCCTCAGAGATAGATGAAGACCGGATCCCCAACCCGCTTCTCAAGGTGAGCTGGTCCCTCTCACTCAGCAAAACCCAGAGAACCCAGTGACTCCTCAGGGGATTATTCCTCAGCCCCCCACCCAATCTGAAGGGCCTTTTGACTCCCTCTCCTCTGCATGCCCCCAAAGGAGCACGAGTGGACACACACACGCCCCCACACACCGTATCCCCCACGCCCAGGCTCCTTGCTCACCATTGTGTGGGGGAGGGGAGCAGCTGGGAAGCAGGAAATTTTGCCTCCCACTCTCTGAAGCCCACAATTGACCCCCAGTCTCCCATCCAAAAGCATGGCAAGGCTCAGAAGGCGGGGGAGAAGGGCTGGCCCCCCACCTGTGCTCTGTGTCCTTCACAGTCCACGTTGGCCATGTCTCCACGGCAACGGAAGAAGGTGACGAGGACCACACCCACGATGAAAGGTTAGGAACCACCCCCCTTCCAGTCCCTTCCTTCCCCTCTGTGCCTGAGGCGAAGCAGTGGACCTAAAGACCCCTTTGGAGGGAGTCCTTGGGAAGTCCTTAAAGCTGCCTTTATTATAGTCGGATTGTTGCTAGACAGTCTGGGCTGCCTCCGACTAGCTGGGAGGCCTGGGGGCACCTGCCTCACCTCCTGAGCCCTGAGTACCCCCTCACTGTGGCAGCTAACTAGAATATGGAGTGCTCACCACACAGAAGGTACTTGAGTATTTCTTGAATCTAAATGGAGTCTTTCCTCTTGCCCCCACGGGAGATGGAGTATCCCAGCGAGTTAGGAAGATCTTTGGTTCCTGAAGGCCCTGCCCCTCCCCTCCCTTACTTTTGAAGGAAATAGGTTTTATTGTGTAGCTTTAGGCCCTCCCTGTTGCCCAGGAAATACACACACACACACACGCACACACACGCCCTGCCCAGTTCAGATCTCAGAGGATGGAAAAGTCAGGCCGGCAATGTCCGACGGCCCTTCACTGGGTATGTGGAGTTGGAGAGTCCACAGAGGAGACTCTGAACAGTCATGTCCCTCTCTTTCTCTGTGCCCCCAGAGCTCCAGATGATGGTTGAACATCACCTGGGGCAACAGCAGCAGGGAGAGGAACCTGAGGGAGCCGCTGAGAGCACAGGGGCCCAGGAGCCCTGCCCACCTGGGATCACAGACACAGAAGCGGAGTTAAGGCTGGGCACGTCTGGGAAAGCACAAAGTACGTTCAGGCTGGGGAGGGACTGGCCCAGAAGGAGGCAGACCTTACCCATCATGGGGAGGGGTCTAATTGTAGGCAAACTGTCTTGAGAAAATGGATATATTTATATGTACTGCACGTATTTGCCTGTGTGCCCCTTTCCTTGCTGAATGACCACGGCCCCTCCCAGCTCAGGCCGCAGAGCTCCCTGCTGGAAGGTGCGAGCCCACTGTAATGGGAACAGCACTCATAGGCTAGAATCCTGGCTCTGTCACTTTAGCAGCCCAGAGGCCTCCAGCAACTTCCTTAACCTCAGTCTGTAAAATGATAACGATGATGCCTCTGGCCTTGCTTGGGTTGTTTGTGAAAATAAGATGAGACCCGTTCTTAGCCCAGCAGCTGACACATACAAAGCGGCAATAAATGGGAAGTGCTGTTAACACCTGCCCGCGGTCCCTTACCCCACGTGGATTCCAGAATCCAGAGTCCTTCCCACTATATGAAGGTGACATGGCATATGTACTGAATATTACACAACGCCCCAGCAGAGACCCTGTAATCAAACACATTAGTATTTCTGCAGTGAACTGAATGGTCCCACTAAATGGAATAAATAAAGACTACAAATAGTCCCATGCGAGGTCAGGTTTAGCCAAATTGTACCCAAACTTTTTTTCACTCTCCTTTGAAGGCTTTTTTTTTCTAATTTCTGATTGCAAATTAAAAAATAATAATAGTAATGACCCTGTAGTCATAGTTGTGATTAGAGAAGGCACCACTGGTCTTGTCCGATTGCCCCCAGCCCGGTCTTGGGCTGTCTCTGGGGTCACTGGAGCATCAAATGGGGTAAGAAGAGCAGCAACCTCTGCCAGCCTTCATGAATACTGCCTTTCCCTCCCACTGCCCACTTTCCCTCCTTAGAGCCTGCAGAACCCGTCCCTAAAGCTCAGGAGAGGGGCAGTGAGAAACCCAGCACAGAGGAGCCCCCAACCCATATACCACCACTGGATTCCCAGGGAGCCAACTCGGTAAGAGCCCAGGGCTGGGTGGCCCAGTCTCCAGGAGAGCAGGCTGTGTGGATAAGGGCAAGGACTAAGATCTGGAATCAGGGAAAGGGGGGACAAAGGACCAGCTTCAGTCACTGAAAAGCTGTCGTCTCAGGCAAGAAGATTTGGGGGCATTACGTATCCACGGACAAAGAGAAATGGGATGAAGCCGCAGGACGAAGGACTGAGGTTGGGCTCAGTACTAGGGTTTCTGGCTCCTGGAATGGGTGATGGCAGTCCGCCATCAGCTTTCTGAGAAAAGGTGTTTGGAACCCAAAGGGAGATCCTCATGTCCTGCCTGCAGCGGAGGCATTGATGAGATAGCCTCGTGGGCTTTGATCTTACAGTCCCCCCTCCCTGCGTGGGCGGCACACGTGGGGGGAACTGGTGTGGGACATCAGAGGTTAGGCACTTGACGACGGGCCGAGCAGCAAGGGTGGGGACAGTGGGCCCTCTGGTCTCTCACTCGCCCTCTCTCTTTCTGCCCCTCCCCCACAACAGGTCTGAGAGTGAAGGAGGTATCCTGGAATGGAGACTGCAGTTGGGAATGCATGGACACTGGATGTTTCTTATTCTTCACTTTTAGGGAAAAATCTCTTGTTTTTAAAAAGTGATAAATTTGGTGTTAGGTCCTTGGTATTTTCCTTCTTTCCCGGCTTGGAGAATCCTTTCTGCCTCCCTTCTTGTCCTGCCTTCTCAGCAGCCCCCTCTCCTTCTGCCCAGCTGGTGTGGAAAGGAGGAAATTGGGAAGCTGGGCTGAAGCCTTGAGAAGGGGGTTGGGAGCGGGGAGAGTTCTCTCCCCCAACCCTGCCCTTACCTGCTGTGGCAAGAAAGATGGGGGTCAGACAGGTGTAAGGACTAACTTCCAGGGCACCAAAAAGGAAGGAAAGGCCTGGGTTCTCTTCTCTTAATTGAGGAAAAGATACCACCAGCACGCGGCAGGCCTGCCCTGCAGCCGGGCGAGACTTGGGGTTCTAAGGCCGGTCCAGCTGTGCCTGTGCTGTGGCCGCCGCCTGCTGGACAAAGGGGGGAACTGCACCCTGGCCCTTGGCCCAAGGGCAAGAGGGGGTGTTGTGTGGATGGATGCCTCCTGGTCCTCCGAGCCTCCCTCAGTGATTCCCAGGCTTCGGGATGTGGTCCCTCCTCCAGCTATGAGACCACCGCCCCTATTCCAACCCAGTAGCAAAGATGGGTTGAGAACACAGTGGCTATTAACAAAGAGGTCCTGGCTGGGAGCCAGAAAGATCAGCTCTCTCCCTGGTCTGAGACTCGGAGGGGCCAGGGCAAAAGACAAAAACCCAGCACAGGTGAAGAAACTTCCATGGCCAGCCGGCCTCTCCTGCCCGCTGCTTTTGATTTTTCCAGGTGGTGGAGTGGGGAGGGGAGGAGGGAAGGCAAGGCTCGCCCCTCCTTACTGAAGAAGCACTTTGGTAGAGAGCGAGCCTCAGGAGTCCCACTCCTGCCATCAGGATACCTACTGTGTGCCCTCAGGCAAGACCTCCCCTCTCTGGGCCCAGCCCCCCCCCACCCACATACATAGTAGGGAGAACACCACACCAATATTTTTTCGAGCTTGAAAGAGACAGTGTATATGAAGATGCTCGGTGGACTTCCATCCAGTGAACACGAAACACAGCCAGGCCTGGTCTCCCTTCTTTATTGATCTCTGGCTATAGCAGGGTTCTGGGAGACCAAGGGCAGGGGTGAGTCACATGCGTCTCTGCCCCACTTGGGGTGGGGTAGGAGGGACAAGTGTCAAGGTGGCAGGTCTGAGAGACCATGGCTATGGACTTCACACGAACGGGGCCCGCTGTATAAATGCATGGTTGGTATTTACAGGATAGGAGGAGGGCAGTCGCCTGGACTTGGGCCTTTGCTGGGACAAGGCTGCTCAAGGAGCCTGAGGAGAAGGGGCACAGGGCCTGGCGGGCTCTCTCCAGGAACACAACTGCCACAGCCCTGAGTCCCCGCCGGCTGCCTCCACCCGCCACTCCCCACTTGTCCCAGGGGCGGGGCCTCTTGGTGCCTGCAGCTGCGCAGGCGCTGGAAGGGGGAGGAGGGGAGGAACCCTTTGACAGCAATGCAGGATTACGGGGATTATACCTCACCCTCACGTGCACCCTTGGCCCCAACCCCGCTGGTCTCTCCTGCCTGTGCTCGTAAGATGCATCCTGAAGGTGCTTTGCTGGGGAGACCTCAAAGCTCTTTACAGACATTGGTCGGATGGGAGCCTCCCAGCCCCAGGGGAGAGGAAGGAGGCAAAGGGCTCAGGACAGCCAGGGTAGGTGACGAACCCCAGGGGCCTAGACCAATCCCAAGTTCTGCGGACCCCAGGAAAGGCCTCCCCTCTTCCCCTAGTCAACATTTCAGAATAGGAGGGAAGGAAGATTGGGGTGGGGCGGGGAGGCTGGGGACGGGGCTGAAGCAGTGTAGGTCTGGGGTAAAGAGAACACCCCCCGCATTCCCAGACCCTAGAAAGGCCCCATGCCCTGAAGGAGCCCACTCCCCTCTCCACACACAGGGCTCTGAAAACCCCCAGCTTTCTACCCTATTCCAGCCCCTCCCAGGGGAAGAAAAGGGGGACCCAGACCTGCCAGCTAAGATCTGGAGGGGGCTGAGGGAACCCCCCCAAAATGTATTGCTTAGAACCTTGGAGGCAAAAAGGATGGGGGAGGGCCCAGGGGCTGGCATCTCTGACCCTCCCCCCTGGGCCCTGGGAGGCCTCTAAGAAGCTCCCCTCTCCCAGCCAGCCATCTGGCCATGGGGCTGGGGCCGGGGGGGAGCGGGGGGGGGGGGGGTAGGGGGAGTCCAGAGGCAGGGGGATGGGCACAGTGACCATCGGGAGCCTGAAGTTCCCCAGACTTGCTGCTGGGAAATTAAAGTGCACCCCAATGGGTGTCGGGTGGGGAGGGGCCCTTCCCCCAACCCCACAATCTCTGGCATTTGGCCTTCGGGTGGGTTGTCTGTTCCTCAACCTCCATGCTCCCTTGGAGCAGATGGGGGAGCCGGTCCCGATGGATGGTGCTGATGACATCAAACACTTTGGACTCACTGAGGACCTGGGAAAGAGGGAGAGGTCTCGGTGCTCTGATCTTTGCCTTATCTCCAGCCTGACCTACCTTCTCCAAGTCCCGCCAGACCCCCCACTTGGTCCCACATACAGCTGTGCAAAAAATGCCTGCAGAGGGTGCCCAGCCAAGGGGGGCAGGGGGGTGCTGCTATCAAAGTCATGTGCAACTGACCTCACAGAGTCCTGCGTCCTGGCCGGGCCCTGTTCCCCAGCCCTCACCAAGGTGCTACAGAGACTGGCTGCAGCCTTGCTCAGGCCCTCCCTGTTCTGAGGAGCTACCTCCTTCCTTCCTGCTGGGACTGGACAGAGGGGTGGAAAAATTTCCCTGCTTCCCACTCACGCCCTGGCTCAATTATATGTTCATTTCCTCCATTTTCCTCCCTTGGAAGAGGGAGGGAGAACCTCATATCCACTGAACCCCAGAGATGACCCTTCAAAGTTGCCACGTCAGACACCCAGCTCTCTCTACTCCCTACAGATTCTCAAGACCCTTCCCCCTCCACCACACAGGCTCACCTGGGCCAGCCCCAGGCTAGTCCAGATTCCCATTCTGGTTGTGTTCATCCTCGGCAGGGGAGGGCAGGGCCTCTTCCTCACAAGGGGACAGTTCGTCAATGGACATCTGGTTGGTGATGCCTGCAGAGGGGCATTTAGGAAGTTGGGACCAGACCAAGAAATATTTTTCCCCAGAACACCAGGAACATGCAGAGAAAGGTAAAGCATTCTCATGCAACCTCCTGCCTTCAAGATGAGCTACATTCAACCCATGCCGACTTAGGGAGAGCCTCTCCAGCCTTCCTCCCCAGCCTTGCTAAAATTCACAACCTTCAACTCACACATAAAGGAAGAGATTTCCCAGCCAAGGCCACCAAGTTACCCAAATCTACTGGGGCACCATTTACAGACCACAATATGCATGGGGTCCCTTGGGCTGTGGAATATGGCTGTTCCTATCTTCTCTCCTGTCCCTGTTCTAGAACAGTCCGGGCCAATCAGCTAGACAGTCTTTCCTGTGATCTTACTTTAGTCTGATCAGTTCCATTCTCAACTCTTGAGAGTCAAACAAAGGGTTGCTCCAGGGCTTTAAGGAAAATGGACCTGCTACTGCTCCATCAGCCACCCTCCCCACAAGGCCTCATCCCCCACCCCCGCCCCCCTGGGTCCAACGGCACCCACCACTTGCTGCCCGTTCCTTCCATTTCTGCTTGTTCTCCTGAATGTGTTTGATCCAGGTAGAGCGGAAGCTGACCACATCAGGGTTGGGGTCTCCCACTTCCACATCCAGAGAAGGCTGGCGCCACTGGAAACTAAAGCAGGCCCCCCCCCCCAACTCCAGAGGTGAGACCCAGCCCACTCCAGAACTGCCTTCACAGCCCTCAGAGTGGCGTGGGGATGGGAGACCAGGAGGTGGCTTAGGGAGACTTATCCTCCCCCTTTCCCTCTGCTGCGTACCCCCAAGTCCGTGCCCCTTTTCCCTCAATTTCACCCCTTCCTCTCCACACCTTCCCTCCTACTGGAAGGAAAATAAAAACGAGATTAGCAGAAAGGCAATAAAGATAGAGCTAACGAAGAATGGGTGAAGGGGACCCCAGGGGCAGATCACACCCTTCGGGCCCCATTCTCCCACCCCTGTGTGTGACGTGCAGCAGAGCCTCCCGCGTTTTGGGTAGCCTGCTTCTCCACCACCCCGAGAGAGCGATCAGCGCTCTCTGTGAGTCCCCCTTCCCTCCCCAGAACCAGGGGACCTAGCTACCCCAGCCCCCCTCACCTGGGCTGGTTCTTAGACTTGGAGTCCTCATCCACCAGGGGCTGGACACTCTTCTCGGCCACATCAGTCAGCACAGAGAAGGTGGGCTCCACGATGAAGTCGATGAACCCTGCGGAGAAGGGGGAACACAATGGAGAGGTCCCACCCGGAGGGCTGGGCAGAGGGCCCTGCGTGGCTGGAACCCCCGGCTTCGGGTAAGACGGTGACGCAGGCTGCAAAGTTCCCGGTGGGGACAGCCTTTGCAACGATGTCTTTGTGACCCCACCTTTGCACCCCCAGGCCTTCCACCCAGGACCCCATGCCGCAGCACAGGCTCACTCCACAGGCAGACTGGTTTTGAGGGATGGAGACAGAGACCCCTGGCCCCGGCCCAGAAAGCATCCTGGCCCCTTCCCAGGTCTCTCCGCCCAATAGGAAAGGCCACTCACCGATCTGTGACTGTGCCACCAGAGTGGAAGTACGATCACACAGGGGAGAGAAGGGCAGGCCCAGCTCTGCCTCCTTGTCGCCCTGGAGGGGAAGAGAGGGCGGGAAAGCTGGAGGGGGTGTCTCAGACTACCGGGGGCCGGGGTGCAGCTCGGGGCGGTCCGGGGTTGTTGTGGGAGAAGAGGAGTTTCGGTGCCCTACACCTGGAGATGGTCATGGTATGCAAATGGAATGCAACCACAGTTAAGCTTTCAGGAAAATGACCTCTGATCCCAGGGCTTCAGGATCAGGGCAGAAGCCACAGGGAGCTGAATGAAGATCTGGAAGCAGAGTGGGCACCTGGAACAAAGGGGAAGGAGGGCAGGGG